ACTGGTGGGTGTTCCGCCTCTAGTTGAAGAGAAAGCAACGAAGCAGGCGGTACTCGAGCGGATAAGTTCAGTGAGCTTAATACATTTTGCTGCCCATGGTAACGCGCAAAGAGGGGAAATTGCACTCTCCCCCATTCCTTCTCCCAACAGTCAAAACGCTTTCCCACCGAAGGAAGCTTACTTGTTGACGATGGCTGATGTCTCACGAGTGAAAGTCAGAGCCAAACTGGTGGTACTTAGCTGCTGTCACAGTGGAAGTGGAGAGATAAGAGCCGAGGGAGTTATAGGAATTGCCCGTGCGTTCTTAGGATCCGGTGCTCGCTCGGTGTTGGTTGCGCTGTGGGCCATTTCAGACAAAGCAACAGAGCAGCTGATGAGTCGGTTCTACGAACACCTCATTGAAGGTGGAAGTGCCAGTGAATCCCTTCATCAGGCCATGAAGTGGATGAGAAAAAATCCCTTGAACAAAATCTCTGAGTGGGCTTCGTTTACGCTGATTGGAGATGATGTGAGACTCGAGTTTGACAACCAGCGGCAAGACTCGGTGAGAACAGGTATTTCATAAATTAAAGTTAAATTAGATGTGAGGATGGTTATGACTTACTGGTCGTTGACCGGATGGGGATCCTCTGTTACCTTGAACATCAAGGCTAGTTTAATATCTATCTATCTATCTATATATATATATATATATGTACATAAATATAAATATATATATATATATATATATATATATATATTTACGCACACTTTTTTTTCCTTTTTGAAGAGTTACTATCTCCGCTCTCTGGTGTAAAATATAGAATCTCACAGATGCCTCTCTACCAATGAGATACAAGTAGTAGCCAATTATTTTTATATATCGTGCTTGGTGTAATTGTGTTTGCTTTATATCCAAAATATTAATTGAGGTAATAATAAATTGGGTTATTTCAAATTTTTTCTTGCAGGAAAAAAGACCCCGATAGAGTAAATAATGACAAGTACTCGAAGGGAACAGAGTTAAAAGACTTTTAGATGGACAAATTAAATAGAAATAAGTATAGAAAATACTCTATCATCGACATTAAAAAAAAAGAGCTATCCCAGGTTAGGGGAGATTTATTCCAATTTTTGGTGCTTTCTTTTCTGATATTCTCAGGAGGAGGTACTGGTTATGTACTCACCATTTTTTATGTTTTTCACGCAAAAATTACATTCTGATATAATAAGCACGAAACAATGTTGACCTACGTAAGGCTTTTGAGTAAAACGAATTCAGTAAAGTTTAGACAGTAGTTTAAGTATTAAACAAATCACTAAAATCTGGTTTAATTTTTGTGTTTTCAAGCCTTTTGTAATGTTTATTTATTAAGAATACCTTCCATATTTGTTCTTGTTAATATACGGGTAACTGCGGAGAGATTCGTTTATACTAGCTCAACACTTAGCAGGAGTCGTGCCGGAATGTAAACACTTTTTAAGTGGCGTTAAGATAGGATTCGCAAAAGGAGAAGCGTTGTGCATCCTAAAAATAAGTCCGAAGCACTTCACATTTATGCTATGCACCCTGCGCGAAGCTTGTCGACTCTTAAATGCAGAAAAATCTCTGCCAATTGGCTATGAGTTAGATCTCTGAAATATGGAAGTAATCCTGTCTTGGAATAAAGAGTTCATCTGTTGTAGAATAAGTTGATTCGTAACACCCTGTATGTAAGGAATAACAGCAAAACCAGTCGCTGGTTCCCTTTCATCAAGAGCGTCACTATTTGTAACTGGTTTTTGGCAATTACGGAGAAAAGTTTTTGCGAAACAACGTCGAAAGATACTAATTCTTCACAAGCGTTAAGAGTTCTATCTTTTATGAAATCCCCAAATTCGCAGGAATTTTTGACAGTGTAATCAGTATTCCCAACAACAGGCGACAAAATTCTCGCAAGATAACCAGAAATTGCATAAGTCGGAGAATTAACAAAAGTGACAATTGGTCTCAAAGGAATTCCCGGTTTATGAATTCTAGGTAAGCCATAAAAACGTGGACATAAGCCGTCACTACTGTCTAACATTTTGTACGTAGAGTCACTAATTTTACCAGCTTTTTGCAAATCAAGCAACATGTTGTTTGAGGTTTTACTGGTATAATCAGAGTTTAAGACAGCATACGTACTCTTGTCATTAAGCAGAGTCAAAGCTTTGTCGTGATATTGCTGTTTGTCCATAACCACAACACAATTACCCTTGTCAGCAGATAATACGAGCCTGTCCGGATCCTTTTTGAGAGCTATAAGTGCATTGAAAACATCCTTTTGAATGTTTTTGGGAGGAGGTTTAGATCGTGACGATGGCGGTTTGCATCCTGACGCTTATTTACACCTCGTCAGAAAAACGTTTGGTCTATGAATTGTAACTTCGGTTACATTCATTAAATCTGCAAACCAGAGTAGCATCAAACTATGTCTGATTGTCCAGGTTGCCGTGTGAACTTTAATGTATTAGATAGGAAGGCATTTGCTTACCTTGGCTCCTTTGATCACTGAACCAGTCGGCCTACGGTTGATGAAGTTCGGGACCTTTTGGTCGGTAACGGCCCATGGAAGCGCGCTTGACAAGGTGATACAAGATGTCCTACTATTGCGCCACTTCCAAACCATTGATTCGGAAATTCCGTATTCCCTTGCCATCTCTCGATTGTTGTTAACGGCTTTAGCTTCAATTACGTTTTTCAAGTTGAGATCGTAAGAATGATGGCGAGTGTTTGGCATGATTGTGCTGAATGTAGACTTCGCAAGATAATGTTCACCAGGTGAAGTAAATTTGCGACTACTGATTTTGTTGATCGAATTGTTTTTATACTTTAAAACCATGTTTCCCGAGAGGGAAGGCTAAAAACTAATGTGTACCGATAGGTTGTCATTAAATGTGTGACCTTTTTTGCCTTTTGTTTATCACTGTGATTAAATGTGTGACATTTTTCGGCTTTTGTCTATGTGTGTGACATTTTGCTTTTGTTTAATCAAGGCTTTTGTTTGTGCGCGTGGTCGCGTGTGCGACAATTCTGCTTTTGTTAATTAACGGTAAACTAAAATCAATACGCGACTTTTTCGCTTTTTTGTAAGTTTATGAAAGAATTTACAATAAACTTGACCGATCTTTAGTCCCCAAACAACGATCATAGTTAGTAGAGGAGGAGTCTCCTCTACTAACTATGCAACGATGCGCCTTATAACCAAGTATTTTAGCGATATTTTCAATTTGAAAACATGCAATAATGAAATTGCCAAATTGGGGGTGCGTCTTATATCCGAGTGCGCCCTATAACCGAATAACTACGGTAGTATGGAGGTAATTACCAGCACTGATCTGGTTCTTACTTGTTCTGCACTTTTCCATGCAGACCGTTTCCTGTGAAACGATCATAATCCATGTATTTTTGTTTTGAAAGGCACCAAATTTAAAACTAAAAAGTTTAGTCCAGTTGCAATGTGATGAATCACTTGCTAACTTTTCTTGCTCAAATTCTACTGAGGAATATTGGCCATCTGTTGTTTTTGTGAGGAACTCAGGAAAATGTTCTCTTATGGCCCTCAGGCTTGGTAAGAAGTTATCATTTGCAGTTATGGCTGAATTAATCTGCTGCAAATTTACATTTATAAAATGAATGAGAGACAGTTGATTTCATTTTGATTCATATTTTATATTTTTAATATGGTTGACGTGTTGGGCATGGTCACCACATCCACCGTGTAGGAGTGGCCTCTCCCTCCTAAGTTGAAACATTTTTTATTTCTTTGATAGAAAAAAAAATGAAAAGTTGAGGTAAGGCAATGCACTTGCAAGGAGATGTTACCCAACTGACAACTATACTCACAAGATCTAAATAAATTACCCTTTTGCCCTAAAATCCCTATTTGTATTATCATAGATTTTTATCTTTCAATGCCTGCTTATGGCAGCTTTTGTTGGATTGGAAATAAAACAGTCTTTGTATATGTGTATGTGCTGGAAACTGTTGCAATGGACCTTCAAAGGGTTTTTTATTTGATCTGTTTTAAACTTTAATTTCTTTGTCAACGGTCAAAAATAATCATATAGTATCACCTTTTTTTTTCCTTCTTTCCTCTAAATCTTTGAAAAATTATTTAATCTTCTATTTGAGAATTGTTTAGAAATGGAATTTATTTTAATACAAATAGGGATTTACGCTGTTATTAATTAGTATCATTTGTGGCTTTAATGAAACGAACAATGTATTTTCACAGTTGTTAGCTTCCAATCTTTGTTGGACAGTAAGAAAAAATTTTGGTATGTATGAAATGGAAGCATCATACCATGGAAAATGCTTGAACAATTTTTATCCACTTGTCGCGTTGATAAAAAAAATTCACTAGTTAACTAGGCTCACATGTTAATTTTTGTTTGATGCAATAAATCTCATTTGTGCACACTTTCCATGGAATAGTCTCTGTTTGTTACAGATTGAAAAATATTTCTTGGGCCCCATACTGTTTCTAAAATTTAACTTCTTTTCGCATGAGCATGATAAATTAAAGATTTTCTAAATGCTGTGGAAAATGGCATCTAAAACAAATGTTAGCCCAGTTTATTGTAATGTCAGTTGTTGTTAGGTTACTATTTACTTTACTTCACCATTCCACTTCTTCCACACCTTCTCTTTTTTATTATTTTTCTTGTCCACATCTATTTTATGAAAAAAACAATACTTGGTTTGAACAAGTTTATTAAAAATACTGCACAAGTTCTATAACTGTATTAGAAAAGGTTTCTCTGAAGTGACAATATTTAACCAAGTGATGGTAACATTGCAAAATTATGAACTTCTACTTTACTGGAAATGGTCAAAGGAAAAACAGTTTGCTAACCAGACATCATTTCTTATTGCTTAGACTTTAACAGGAAAGTTGTATTTCAAGGAGGCTATGGTGTCACTTTTCCAACTTCCTACAGAGGTGAAAGACTACTCACTGTTTACAGGTGCATAGCATTTTGTGGAATCATAGCACTATAGAAGAAAAGAAAATATGACCGTTGACCTAAATCACTACCTGCAGGGGGTGGTCCTTCAGGTAGATCTTCATCATCTATTGTATAAAAACTAAACGTATGTAATTGTCAATTTGAAAAAAAAGGTATTTTATTTAAATCAAGGTAAAGCATTATACATTGTTTAAGCGCCAGAGTCTCGCATAAAAAGGTAAGTAGTGACTCCGCGCGCTAACGAAGAGAGATGTTTTAATTCAGAGAAACTGAAACTTTCTTAAATTCAAGTACTGTGATCAATCTTGTGATGTAAATCAAACTTTTCAAAGACTCAACACTTAAGCTTGACGTTCCCCATTAAAAATAGAATAAAACTTTTCATTTTTCATGTTCAATTACAATGGGCGATAAAAGTGTGACGTACAAAACTAAACTACTGTGTACTTATTGATTGAGTGGTAGGAGCGCAGCGAGGTCCTTGCTTGATG